CCGCTCCGCCTCCTCCCCTTCGCCCCCAGCAGGAAGGCTCGGACGACGGCCCAGATTTCCTCTCGGAGGAGGACCGAGGTGTAAGTGCCGCGGGGAGGCGTTAGGGACCCCGGCGCCTGGGGTGTTGGGTTGGGGAGGACAGGGTTGGCCACCTCCCCCGAGGGCCCTTTGGCTGCTGCCTGGCCCGAACCCGCTGCCCGGGTATCGGGAGGGACGCGGGATGCCGGGCGGCGGCAGGCGATTAGGGTCCGGGGTGCTTGTCTGCCGGGATCTGCTAATGGGGAAATAGCACAGGCTCCTCTGAAATTAGTGTCTGCGTGCGTGGGTTTTGCCTCGGATTTTTCATTGTTTTGTCACCCAAGTTTTGGAAGGGCAGTTCTTTCGTGCTTTTGTTGGGATAGCTTGGGAGGGGGTTGTGTACGTTGCTAGAGATCCATCTTCTCTCTCTCTGTCCTTCCCTGCGCTGATACGTGCCCCTCTCCCTCCGCACACACCCAGGTTGTGCTGTGGTCCTGACCACGCTGACCAGCCTTGTGGAGAGCACCAGGTTCCATCTCTCGTCGTGAGCCAGGGCCTAGGTGAAGTAGTCCTGCCCTCTCTTCCAATTCAGGCCCTAGAGGCTCTCCCATAGATAACAGTGGGGCGTTTACATTGCAGGCGCATATTGCGTGATAAACTCTTTATTGGAAAGAAGTTCTGTTGTTGGGACGGGATGCCATGATTATGTTTCTGACTGAGAAAACCTTTTTCTCTGCCCTATGGTGTCTGGCCTTCATTTCTCTTCTAACTGCTGCATCCATCTTTCTTTAATTTGCCTGTCTTACTTAAGCAACAAATCAGCTAATCTAGTGTAACTTATTCAGACTGATTACCACTGTCAGTTAGTATCTTGAGAAAGACTGACTGTGAACAAGGTAGGAAAGCAGCTTCTGGGTTGCTTAGGTTGCCTTGGCTGTTGCTGGTTATTGAAGTGGCTACGTCCAGTATATTACCAAAAATACAAAAGCTGAGTAGGACTGTGTTGGTATACACTTTTGTCATGCATGCCATAATCAAGTGTCAAATATAATGTTAAGTACCAAGCAATTTTTGACTGTATGCACATGGTGGGAATTCAGTGCATTTTATGTTCCACTTCATGACCAGAAATTAAAAACGGAATTCTAGTATTGTATTAGGCCAGTTCTGGCCACTGTAGAGCTTTTGCCTTTAATTATACAGCTACTTTAGTGAGAATACTGGATAAAAAAGAGAGGAGGCGGAAATTGTTGTCCTTTGAGTGTCTTCAGAACAACAACTGAAGAACTTATTAATTATGGAGTTGTATTTTACATAGGTAGTCCCTGTTACTTAGGAACAGACATTGAAGTGCACAGTTAAGTTGTATTTATCTGAAGGTGCATGTAGAACATAACAATACAAATCTGATCCTGTGAGAAACTTGTTTGTTTGGTTATTAGTTTTCTCTCTAAGGCTACAGGTAGTCAGAGTTCACAAGGTAATTTGAAAGCCTTAAGAAATCTCTTAGCAATCTTGTTTGTGCTGTTGGACAACTTACATCATCTTAGTTGGCCAAGTGCAGTCTGTTGGTTTGGTTTTTTTTGTTCCCTCCCCCATCTTCATCCAACACTGAGGAATTAAACCAGAACAGTGTCCTTCTCCTTTCCCTAATTTTTTTTAGGTTTTTATTTTCAATCACTCTTTTTTTTTTTTTTTCCCTCACTGCTGTGTAAATCTTTGGGGTTAAAACACAGGTTGTTATCTGCATAATTTTGATTGTGATACAGAAAATCTAATCAAAAGCACTGCTGGCAGTATGTTCATGAATGGATTTGCTGTGCTTTAATCTTCAAAACCAAAACTTTTTTTTTCTTAGTAGCAGTAGTAAAAATAAACAGCTTTTAATAAAGTGTTTCCCTGGTTCTGATTTGTTGCCTTCCTCTGTTTGTGGTTAAAAACAGAGTAGGTCAAGCCTTTATTTGGAAGCATGGATGGCAACTTCTAGTTAGAGTAATTGAGCTTTTAGTTTTGAAAATCAGTACCCTTTCCTCTCTAGGATTTAAATATTGCTATGACAGTCGTACTTTTGACGCTTCAGAATCATGTTGGTCAGCTACAGTTGTGTTAAGTTTAACATGGGGGTGATGGGATGAAAAGAGGGCTGGAAATTACGCTGATGCCACATAGAACAGTAATTCTCAAACAGTTGTGTTATACCATATGGAGCCTTTTCCGGAGAATTGTAAAACAGAGCACTGAGAATCATCTTTGAGGAAGTAGCAGTGGGTGGTCTGTAGAAGGAACTTATTATAAATGGTCTGCATAAAATGAACTTGCAGGACTTGCTTTTCTAAATCTCACTTAAGAAGATACGATTGAGTTTGCTTGGAGTTCAGTTCCTGTTGGGGTTTTTTGTACTCTCTCTAACATAAACAATACGTGCTTTGAAAGGTGATACAGTATTGCTTTACTAGTGCTGTCTTGTCTATTTTATATCTATATAAACTTTAGCCGACTTGGCTAATGCTCTTGTCTACTCATTTAGGGGAAATGAGCTATCCCTTACAACAGGTCTGCTAGAAACTTAATGCTAGGAAGACACTGTAATCTTTTGTTGTAAAAGTATTGTTTGTTTCCCTTGCTCTGTGTATTTATCTGCCTGTAAAGAACTCGCTGAAGAAGGGGTCCTTTTTCTCTAACATTTTTGAAAGAGCTCAGAGTATAGAAGTTACTGTTGTTAAGGGATGACATTGCCCAGGAATGTAAGGTTTGGTTGTTTCCCTTGTCTCTACCAGCTTCCTTCCATTATCATTTGAAGTATAATTGATCCTTGAGCAAGAGGTTAGGTGCTAAATCCTCTCCTTGCATCACGTTCTAAAACTTTTAGTACTGTAACATGACTTAGCCCTGGTTTTGGCTTCTGATGCTTTCTAGAACCTTTGAATAAAACAGGGACTTTCTTGGTATAGCATAGGAAACTGTAAAGCAGCTAAATTAAGTTAGCTCTTCTTTTGCTATTTGTTCAGCGTGGCTGTAGAGTATGTATCTAAGCATTAAATTATTTTGCTATGTTGTATGTATTAGATTGGGGGGAGGGGGGGCAGGATACAAAGGGACTGTATCCCACCTCCATTTTTTCCAGAATTTAAGGTACTTTCATTTCAGTTTTCATCCAAATCAGGTTTTGTAGCATTTTATTTTTTCATTTTCTACTGCCTTCACGACTAGAAAACCATCCATTGGTGGTGATTTTTCTTTTGGAAGTAGTGATGAAGAGATTGCTGAAGTTTGTTGTGTGATGATGTTGTTTGTCAATTTAATTCCCAGTAATGCAACATGAACCATTGTGTCACGTGAATACATTTAAAGTCCTTCAACTTTCTGATTGTCTTTGACACCTTTCATAAATGCTTCATTACCATTGCAGATGAAAATGTTTCCTGTTGGCAGTCAGGCTTCACAGCATAATTTAACATATGATTAAACTCTTCAAAACCGTTACAAACTTAACCCGGTATAAATCAAACAAATAGTCCTTTGCAGTTGTATGTCATGAGTGAAGTTGTCATGTTTAGGTTGTTCTTAATTTCCTCAGCACAGATAAACATTTTGTTCCTAAAATTGTGAATAGTACATATGTGCTGGTGTGCTGCACTAGAGACTGCATTCGCACTAGTGACAAACTTGAGCAGCTGTTATACTGAATCCTAGAATTTTGTATTGTACCACTTTAAAAAAAAAAAAAGGAGGAAAAAAAAAGCATTTTAGCAGAAATTTTTGTGATCTGTGAAAGACTACAAAAATACCATTTGAATAATCCAGATTATTTGCTGAGATTACTGTGTTTGTTAATGTGTACTGGGGGACCAGAGAAAAAGAAACAGTACCCCAGGCAGTGTAACCACTAAAAACTTTTTTACAAGCTGAAAAATGTGGTGTCATGACATAAGGCAGACATTGGTATGTCAGATTTTATTTTTCTTTCCTAAATTAGATGTTAAGCACATTGGAAACTCAGTAGGAGCTAGGAGATTCTGCCTCTGAGAAGTGATCTGCAATGGATGGTTGCACGATAATATGCCTTTGTGTGAGGCAGTGACCCCCTAAACCTTGGGAAAACAAAGCGCACTGCCCAAATCACATGTATGAATATGTTACTGTGCGGTGGTTTTAATGATTTTCAACTTTGCTGTAAGGAAAAGCTATTATGTTTGTGTAATAGCTATTGAACTGTTATATTTTGCTAGCCCAGCAGATTATGTTAGGCTGTATGATTTTGGTTTAATTTAATACACCAGTTCTAAGATATATTAGTCTGGTTGCTGCTACATAAGCAGCAGAGTTGTCTGTGCATTGAAGTTAATGAGAAAACTAGAGTGGGATTTATGATTTAAGGTAAGGATTAAGGTAACTGGTGGAAAACAAGATGTGGCAGTTGATGCTTCTCTTCTAGTGCTGTTCCAGTGCCTTGCAGTGTTACCTTCAAAATCTGCTCATATGTAACCTTTGTACTGTGTGTTGCCAATGCTTACAGCATTTTTGTACTTGAGTACAGACTTCAAAATGCAGTCCTGAAAAATTTTGCGGGAAAAAGTGTATATCTCTATATGGCAAAGCATTTTTATACTGTAGAATGTGATACTTCTAGAAAAAATGCAGCATTGAAGAAAACACAGTGTCTCAGTAAAACATAAGCCTCATGAGCATGACGTCGAAATATTTTTTGACAATGGGATTGGAGAAGATTTCAGAGTTAGCCTTAGTACTTGTAAAAATGTCTGAATGTCTGTTGATCATGGTGATTAAATTGTTCTAGAGCAATTTGTCCCATGACAACAAGGGTGCAAGGGTGGGGGGGACTCAAATTTCCAGTTGGAGTCTGGATGAGGTTAGTTCCACCAAGTACTGTTTGAAGCCTTTGTTTGGTCCAGTTACTGCCAAACATCATGGTGCTCAGATAATCTTCCAATTTTTCTGTATTTGATCATTGTCTCATTTTCTTTTTGATGTAACTTTGGAATTACTTTGTGAGCAAGTTCAGTTTTCATGTCTTGTGGAAAAAAAATGCGTATTCCTTGCACTCTTGCCTTTTCTCATGCTGATTTTGAAGAGATTAAAATATTGGGTTTTTTTCCTTTTTTTTTTTTTTATTTTTAATATTTCCAAGGAGACTTAACTCTCTGAAGTTCAGGATTTTTTTTAAAGCTTTTTCAGTATATCATGGGAAATGTTAAACAAAAGAATAGTGTAGGACAGTGTGAGTAAACCAGGTCTTCAATAGTTCTTGCTTCTTTGAAATATACGACCATTTTTCTCCTTAAAATACCTTTCCAACTGTTAGTACCATTATAATTACCTTTACAAGTACACTCACTTACAGCAGATTGTCGATTCAGGGGAGCAGGAGGAATGAAGAGAAAATCCTACCAAACTTGCTGCTGTCTGTAAATGTATTTTGTCTTGACCATCTCATTTGCTAGTAAGCTAACAATATACAGAAATGAAAATAGTGCACTAACAATGAGTATGGTAAAGAAAATTATTTGTATAGTCAAATGTGCCATAAGGAGTACTGCTGGAAATAATCTTTTAATGTTGGGTTTTTTGAAATCTGTCTTCAGTCTTTTAAGGATGTTCAGCATTGCAGGATCAGGGAATCTTCTCAAGGGAATAATAAGGGAAAGATAATTAACTTTTTTATTTAAGCTAAATAGATTTTTCTTTGTTTAGCTTAGAGCGATAAATGTAGATCTCCAGACTGATGCTGCTCTGCAAGTGGATATCTCAGATGCACTCAGTGAGAGGGACAAAGTGAAATTCACTGTCCATACAAAGGTAAAAGCCTGGGTTTGTACACTGAACATTTTCTTAATTATATAGCAAAAAAAGTTTGCTTAAACTGTTTCTTTAAACAACTGCAGCAAAATCCAAAGGAAGTGAGAAAGTAGCATTATCTCATGTTTAAGAGACTGTGTAGCTGCAGTGCTTAAGAAAAAGATGGCTAAAAAGTTAAGAGGTTAAAAACTCTTTAGAAAAAAGTGACATTCCATTTTTTGTACTGATGTGTTGTCATGGCATTCCTATGCTTATTAATTGGCCTGTTTGCAGGTAGAATCTTTAATATACCTCTGTGTTCTTCAGTATAGTTTTTTATTAGATTAGCCATGGTTTCAGATTCTAAAAATATATTTCATAATGGAATTACATTCAAGAATCATTTTTAGTTACTGCTTGTTTATGGCTTTTCTTCTTTTTTAGATTTGAATGTTTGTGGATCACAGAAGCACAGATTAGTTGAGGTTGAATGAGATTTCTGGAGGTCATTTAGTCCCTTCTCCTCCCTCACTCCCACCATTAAATCAGGGTGAACCAGAGCACATTGCGCAGGACTTGTCTGTTTGGGTTTTGAATATCTCCAAGGGCTGAAACTCCACAACCTCTTTGGGCAGCCCATACCAATTGATTGCTGCACTAATTAAGGCGGGGGTAATTACTGCTGTATGAGCTTTTTTTTGGTCAAATCCTTACTTGGAAGATTGGATTATTTTTTACAGGGATATTTTTGTTGTTTCTTCAAGGTGTTTTTCATATACTAATGAAAATAATCGTGGGTTTGGGGGTTTTTTTTGAGCATGTGGTGGTTTTTTTTCTTTCTTTCATATTTCTTCCTCTTTTTCCCCTTCTAGAGTTCCTTACCAAATTTCAAACAAAATGAATTTTCTGTTGTCCGGCAACATGAAGAGTTTATTTGGCTTCATGATTCTTTTGTTGAGAATGAAGACTATGCTGGCTATATTGTAAGTATTACAGTTATTTTCGTTTATGTGCGCTGTTTTCTGTGGGCTGTATCAAAAATACTTGTGACTGCTTTTAAATGCAACGGAAATGGCAAATGTTCATTCCGTCTTAAATCAGATTGGATGCTCTAATACTTCATTGTATGCAATTACACAAAATCAATGGTTGAAGCAAGCTTGGAGGAAAGTTACTGTAGTTGTCATACTTTATTGCCTTTCACTCCTAAGGAGTGAGTAGTTTAATCTGTATCCAAGTGTGTTTTTAGTCCACTGTGTTAAAAGTGTGGGAGGTAGGTGGACTGTATAAGTTGGTGCTGCTGTTTTTGCAACCTAATGTTTAACTTAGTTACAAGTTTCATGTTACCTTTGTTTTAGCTGGAATGGCAGAGTGCAGTGACTGAGCTTTAGTAATTAGACTTTTCCAGTTTTCATTATGAAGATCAGAATCATTTTACCATAAATCAATTGAAAGGGAAAAAACCAACGCAAATACCATCCAGAACTACAGAGACCCTTAATACACAACTTAACAACTTCTGTTTTGAAGTTTATTTTAGGCCTCCGAGGAGCAGAGGTCCCAAAACAGTCACCTTATGATACTGCCTAGTAAAAATGGGTGCTGCTCTTCATACTTTAATTACAAATAGGAATATTTGTCATCTTGGTGTGAAAGTTAGGTATTCATTTTGTGTTTGGCGGGGTGCCTCCTAATTCAGAAGGTAAACATATATTTCTAATTGACTAGTGGGTACATTGTGATGACTATGATCTGTGATGTGTCATACCATTCTTGAGCTAGTCTTTCTTTAGTCAGAAAAGCTATTTGAAGTGACTAGACCTTCAGTGTGGAAATAACTAGTTTCAGACAGTTGACTGCGTAGATGCTGGATTTTTCTTTTATTTAATCCATTAATGTAATGGGCAAATATTGGTGAACTAAAATTTAAGCATAATTTAGCTTTGTTCTATGTCCTTTTACTGATAGTAATTCAGGATTAGTTTGACTGGTGTTTCTCTTTCCATGTTAATATATTATATTAGAAGATTAACCTAGAGACTTGTTTACTTTGTGCCTTGTTATTTCAACAGATGTATCTTTAATGTCAACAGGGCTGCAAGAAAGAACTAGTGCCTGCAAACAATGTGGAATGGGTTTTTTTGTTTAAAGTTTTGGGGGGTTGTAAATGGATGGTGTGAAAACAGTTGTAGAATTATTTTTTTCTTTAAACAAGAAATAATCCTTACCAAATTGGCTAAAACAAAACTAATTATAAAATAATGATTTCAAGTTTTAATTCATTGTCATGGGAAAGCTAGGTATTGTTTGGTTTCTGTTGTAATTAAACTACTGAAGCCATTAGCTAATACTTTAGTAATCTTCAAGGATACTTGGCCAAAGTTGGTATAGTAATGCAGCATGTCTGACTCATGAATGAGAGACTTTATCCATAATTGCTGTAATGAATGACGAAAGAGAGCCATATATTAAAAAGCTGCAGGCAATCTACAGTTCCTGTACTGAATGGATGTTGTTTGACTGAGAAGATGAGAAATTAAAAAAATTTTGGTTCAATTCCAGATTCCACCAGCACCACCCAGGCCTGACTTTGATGCCTCAAGGGAGAAATTGCAGAAACTTGGAGAAGGGGAAGGATCCATGACTAAAGAAGAATTCACCAAGATGAAACAAGAACTGGAGGCGTATGTAGACTTGAATACTACTACTTTTTTTTTTTTAAATATCCCTCAACTTTGAATCCTGTTTGCTGCCCCATGTTTCTGATTTCACTGTAATGGTTCTCTGTGAGATATAGGCTTGAGAATCCAGCTGGTACCTAACCAGGGTTATCTTAGTGATCATGATCAGAGCCATTAGGAAAATTTTAGAAATAATTTCATGGAAGATCTTTTGAAACAGGAAAAAAAATCAGCTTCTTCTTGAGCATTCAGCATATTTTATAAGGAAAAAAATGGTTAGATCTTTTTCTTCACAGAACACCTGCAAAGGGAGGAGGTAATCTCTGTCTTTTTTAGTTCTGGTGTTCCACATTTTGTAAGCATAATGAGACTTCAAGGTTTGTACATGTAGTGATTGAATTAGGGATTTTTGCATGTGGTTGGTACGGTAAAAATAGATGCCAACCTTCTGCTCCTCAAGAAATATGGACTTTACTAGAAAATACTTTTTTTTGACGCTTACGTGTTTTTTGCACAAGGAGAATATACTTCCTGAAAGTAGTATTTTCCCTTACTGTGAATTTAATGTGTATTGAAATATCTGCTGTAAAGCTTTTTGTTCCATATTGAGTTACGCAGTGAAGTTTCTCCTTGCTTCATCCACTTTCCTTATCATGCATTCACTTCTTTGATCTTTTTCCTGTCATTGGTTTCAGTTTTCAAGTGTATATTTACGCAGCTTCTAGACTGCTTCCACCAAGAGCTCTGAATTGGCAAGAAAAGTACATAGAACTCTTAGAACTGCTGCTTTCTCTTCGAACTCCAGCTGCTGTGAGCAAATGTCTTAAAAAGCTCTGTATTAGTGTTACATACAACATAATTTATAGCAGAGTAGATATACACTTCATATGCAGAAAACTGGAAATTAGCAAAACACTATAGATTTTTAAAGAATCTGTGGTTTTCCAGCGGCCCTGATCATGATTCTCTTGTGGTCTGGTTAGGGGTTGGATAACACAGAAAACTTTGGGTTTCTTCTACTGCCACCTCCATCCTCTGCATCCTCCTTTTTTGTCTTCACTGAATGACTACTACTGTCACTGAGATCAAACATCTCCCAACACTGACCCTGCTGGTTTGCTGGTATGTAAATCTTAACCTCCTTGCACATAGTGGAAGCAAAAGTGTTGATTATCATTTCACCGTTTGACCTCAAATGGGGAAAAGAGCCCCTTCCTCATTTCTAGACAAGTTACATCTTATTCATTGAATAAAATTAATTAAATCCTCTTAATTAAATCACAAGTGAATAATTGCTTTAAGTTGAGTTGGCTGCACTGTGCAACTGTGCAATTGTCATGGTTAAATGTGATTTTTTTGGTTGTAACTACCAAATGCTGCACTTAATTTCACTTTTAGAACCACTATGAAGCAAGATCATCCACGTAAGCTTTGGCTCAAAAAGGCTAGGTGCTTTAACATGGAATAAAAGACTGCTATCTAAAACAGCTAACAAAACTACATGAACGTTTAAATAAGTAAGGAGGGTGCAAATAGGCAAGGGGATGGAGGTGGGGAGGAAGGAATTTGCATATCAGCTACATAGTGCCTATTGACTGTAGTCAGTATCTTAATTTCTTGATTTTTGGGGTGTTGGGGAAAGGACAATTAAATGAGGTACACTTTCAGCAAACCAGTCTGTGTTAGCTAGCCTTAAAAATTAGAATGGTTTTGTTGAGTCTTCATTAAAGGTCTCTCTGTAATATGTTTGGGTATCAAATTTCCCCTTAGTATTAACATTGTACTATTTATTTATGTTTATATCAAAAATTGGAGTGATAACCTCTACTGTATCAGCGTATAATTTTGTATCCTGACTGAGGATCTCTTAAAGGTGCTCACTAGGCTTATCTCAAACTTAATTGCTTCATGTGAAATTATTATGTCTGTCTTATTTCTTGTTTTCAGTGAATATTTGGCAATATTCAAGAAGACAGTTGCAATGCATGAAGTGTTTTTGTGTCGCGTGGCAGCACATCCCATTTTGAGAAAGGATTTAAATTTCCATGTATTCTTGGAATATAATCAGGATGTGAGTATTGAAAACTGAACTGCTGGCAAGAGAAATCAAGATGTACTTTTATGGTAGGATGGAAAATTGATTAAGAGGGCTTTACCTCCTGGAGCAAATTGCATCAATTCCTTCATACCAGACATATTTGTGTTGTAAAAGTTAGAAATTCATTTAGTCTGTAAGAGTTCATTTTCCTGCCACCTGGGGAACCAAATGGACTACGTGCTCTAGCCTCAGCATCAAAAAATATTAATAGGAATCCAGTATGTTTTGGATTATAAAGATTAGCTTTTGGTGGTGATTTCACATGACGTTATACTTGTCCACTCTTTGAATTTTTTATTTTTTTTATTTTTTTTTTTGTGGGGAAGGATGATGCAACAAAAACAGAACTCTAATTTTTAGGATTTGGAACAATGGTTTAAATTCTTTTGCTAACAAAACTAGAGAGGATTTCTAATGAAATGTTCTGATCAGTAAAGCCTTTTTGTTAATAATGTAGGTGAAAATTTGATTAATTTTTTTTCTGGATATTGGACCAGTGTGGCTATCCACATGTTACATCCTGAGTTGCTGTCTACTTTTGAGTTGGAGAGGACTTTCTGGATTCGTAATGACTCCTTGGTATTGGAGTTAGTGGTTGCTCATATTCTGCAAACAGTTTTTAGTTGCTTTTTAAAATTGCAGAAATCAGCATTGAATGTTGAAGAAATCATTACAAAGATTGGCTCAACTGAGTACATGTTTAACTTCAAAATATGTTACAGAGGATCCTCTTGCTGCTTGATGTGGAAGTGTTTACTAGTTCAGGAACTCAGTTTACCTAAATTGGGCAAATTTAGATGGACAGGAAGAGTGTGAGGAGGCTGAAACCAACGTTATTCTCAGTGCAGTAAGGGGTAAATGCTTCTGTAGTTTCTGAAAGTCAAAGATCTGCCATTCTACACTTAAAAGAACAAAACCTGGTTATATTAGGTTAACTCAACGGCTATACTGTGCGTGATAAATACTGTGTTATTGATAACTGGCATGTACACCTTATACATATGGTATTATCTGTAGATGCTAGAATAATGCTGACTTTTTAAAATTTTTTTTTTTCCTGGAATAGTATTTTAGGTGATAAAGAACAGTCTAGTAAATTACGTTAGTCTGTCATTCTGGGTGCATGGTGCCTTGTCTCCATTAATGCAGAGTATAAGACTAAGCCGAGAGCAGGAAAACTGGTTTAGGAGTAGCAAGTTGTGGTATGTAGGTTTGATTTGGTTTTGTTTTGGTTTTTTAAAGCTTTTGTTGCCTACAGAAAATGAACTAAATTGATAAATGAACTTGTTTTTCAGTTGAGTGTTCGTGGGAAAAATAAGAAAGAGAAACTTGAAGACTTCTTTAAAAATATGGTTAAATCAGCAGATGGTGTCATTGTTTCAGGAGTAAAGGTGATTACTGCTTAACGTATCAATATTTAAAATGTATTAACATTGTTGTCCCCTTTTTTTAATGAAGCAACATTTTACATAACTACAAAAAAGGTATTTTTGTAGCAATAGCTAACAGAGCATAGGAAGGAACCTGTGGCCCTGGATGCAAGATAACTGAGAGTTATCTGATTGCGTCTGTGAAAGAGA